GTACATTTAAATTGACCTATTTGCACTTAAATTTTAACCCTTTAGTTTGTTACTTTTATACAATTATCTCTTATTATATTTTTTCTGCTGTAACCATGGCAACAAATTTATTCTTACTTTACGTAAAATAGTTTGAATAATATTTATCATTGATCAAATCTTGCAAATTAATGCGCGTAAATAATTATTTGACCTTTTTGCACTAAAATATAACATATTTTGGGTATTAGAAAAATAAATAGGCAATATAATATTTTCTGATATCAAGCTTTGTATGACTTAAGTGCTGATCAGTCATACGTATCGAGAAGTTTAAAATAATGGAAGAAAAATTTGGGGTCAGTGATGTTAATTTTGAAATATTGGACAAAATATGTGATTTTCAGGCAAAAAATGGAGTAAAATTTATCTTGACTTCTTTGATATATCTCCAGTTTTTGGCAAAGTTTGTTGAAGGAAGATCTAAAACTTATTCTAAAATTTTAAATTAAGACCTATATCAAATATTCCTATCAATATCATAACCGAAAATATTCTCCGAGTAAAAGTATGTGAGTATGTAAAGTTTCAAGACGTTAAATTTAATAAATGTGCAGATTTGCAGAAATTTCTGCTAAATATCCTTCCACCACGAAAAATAGTCCCTAATAAATCTTACTTCTTTGAAGATTTTTGAGCAGTTTTTTCTTTGATTGTTAAAAAATATACATTGTTGAATATAATTATTTTATAAAAATTGAATTTTAATAAATATTTTTGAAGTTAGAGGTTCTGCGTGAACTTTTCTAAAAAGCTGACGAGTGACTTACCTTAATCACTGAATCATGACAAGGAGCACACAGCGGGTGTGACCGGTCGGCAGGGGATGCTTGCAACTCCATGTGAATGGTCTTACCTGTACCAGCTTCAATGGCTCCCATACTCAATAAAAACGCCCCTGTCAGAGGAGAAAGTCCTCCATATTCTAAAGCGTCTTCAAAAAATACAAACATAAAAAAAACATGCCTTTAATTTTCAAATTATATTTCAACATAAATGTTGCAACAAATTTTCTTAAATATATAAGAAGTTATTTGCAATACAATTACCTAGACAACTTTTGATTTCAGAGTAACGATTTGAATAATAATGTTGAAATCTCGTGATTTTTCCACAAACAATAACAGCGATGTTCTCATCTTCCTGTGGATGATTAGCAAACTCTGATAATGAGAAATGTTACATACAATTAATATTTAAAAGATAATGCGAAAAATGTTATTTTACCATAAGGTATTTAGTTTAAAACAACAAAACAAGATGTGTTTGTGAAACATAGATGCCCCTGTATCGGAACATAGCGAAGGTTAAGTTTTCTCAAATGTAGATCAAATATGTTGTTACCTAAAGTAAGGCTTTTTCACAAGAAATACAAATGTGAAATATAAAACCCTAGCACTACATGTTCAAAGGTTATTATCAAGATTAACGTTTTCAAAGGTAGGACTAACTCCGGAGTCAAGGTCAAAAGGTCAATGTTGTTGGTTTCTAAAACAAGAGGCCCAGGGGCCCAGGGGCCACATCGCTCACCTGAGCAAATAGCTAGGTAAAAGCAAAAATCAGTTCAGTATTGAAAAGTTTAAATATTTTATAAAATGGGTTTGAGGGAGGAGGGGGGATATGAACAAACTTAAATCTAAACTTCCTAAGAATGCGTTTGAATTGATATATGCCTTTGTTGATTATTGTTATGATCAACTTTAATGATGTTTTTAAATTGATGATCAATCATGGCTATGTGAAGAATTTCAACAATTTTCCCCATGTATTTCAATGTAAAAACGCTGATAACCCATTTTGGCCCCACTCTTCACCCGGGGGTCATGATTTGAACATTATCTTGAATCTAGACTATCCGAGGATGCATCCATATAACAATGACCAGTCACAACTTTGCTGTTCCCGAGAAGAATATTTTTAAAGATTATTTCTATGTAATCCTACTTTGATCACCCATACTGGCCCCATCCTTGCCCCAGGGGTCACGGTTTGAACAAACTTGAATCTTTACTACCTGAGCATGTTCTACTGGCCCTCTGGTTCTTGAGAAGAAGACTTTTAAGGATTTTCCAATGTATCTCTACGTTAAACTTTGATACCCTTTGTGGCCCCACCCTAATCGGGGAGAGGGGGGTCATGATTTGTACAAACCTGAATCTACACTACACGAGGATGCTTCCACATAAGTTTCGATTCCTGGCCCAATGGTTCTGGAGAAGAAGATTTCGTTCTATATATTCCTATGTAAAACTTTGATAAGCTATTGTGCCCCCTACCCCCGGGGGTCATGATTTGAACAAACTTGAGTCTACACTACTTGAGGATGCTTCCACATGAGTTTCATCTTTCCTGGCCAAATGGTTCTGGAGAAGAAGATTTTTAAAGATTTTTACATTATATTCCTGTGTAAAACTTTGATCTGCAATTGCAGCCCCGCCCTACCCCCGGTGGTCATGATTTGCACAAATTTGAATTTACACTACCTGAGGATGCTTCCAAATGAGTTTCATCTTTCCTGGGCCATTGGTTCTGGAGAAGAAGATTTTCAAAAAATACCATTAATTTTTCATTAATTCATAATAGTCTCCCCTTGGAAGAGGGCTGGGCCCTTTATTTGAACAAACTTGAATCCCTTTTACCCAAGGATACTTTGTGGAAAGTTTGGATGATATTGGCCCAGTGGTTCTTGAGATGAAGATGAAAATGTGAAAAGTTTACACCACGACGACAACGACAACAACAACGACGACAGACAACGGACAAAGATCAGAAAAGCTCACTTGAGCCTTCGGCTCAGGTGAGCTAAAAAGGCCTTGTCTCAAAGATTACATATAGGAAATATGAAAGCGCTGGCCCTTACCGTTCAAAAGTTATGACCAAGGTTAAAGCATGTAAAAAGTAAGTCAAACTCCAAGGTCAAGGTCAAAGGGACAATGAAAGGTCTTGTCACAAGAATTACATATGTAAAGTATGAAAGCTCTAGCCCTTACTGTTCAAAAGTTATGGTCAAGGTAAAAATTTGTAAATAGTAGGTCAAAGGGTCGGAGTTGTTGATATCCAATGAAAGGTCTTCTCACAAAGATTATATATTTGAAGTATGAAAGCCCTAGCCCTTACTGTTCGATAGTTATGGCCAAGGTTAAAGTTTTTAAATAAGTACAGAAATGTTCAAGGCCAAGGTCAAAAGGTCAAAATTGTTGATTTTAAATGAAAGGTCCTGCCACAAAGATTTGATATTTAAAATTTGAAATTCCTAGTATCTACGGTTTAAGAATTAGGGCCCAAGGTCAAAGGGTCAAGGTTCTTGATATCAAATGAAGGGTCTTGTCACAAGAATGAAATATGTGAAGTATGAAAGCTCTAGTCTTAACGTTTCAAAAATTATGGTCAAAGTTGTATTTAAAAAGTAGGTCAAACTCCAAGGTCAAAGTAAAATGGTCAAAGTTTTTGGTATCCAAGAAAGGTCTTTCCACAAGGATTACATGTACATATGTAAAGTATTAGGGCGTAGGCCTGACCGTTCAAAAGTTATAACCAAGGTTAAAGTTTTTTCATAAGTACAGAAATTTTCAAGGCCAAGGTCAAAAGGTCAAAGTTGTTGGTACTCAATGAAAGGTTTTGTCACAAAAAATACATATATGAAGAACAAAAGTCCTGGTGTCAACTGTTTAAAAGATATGGCCAAAGTAAATGTTAAGAATTTTTGTGTAAAAGTGGGTCAAACTCCAAGGTCAAAAGAAAAAAAAAATGATAGTACCAAAAGAAAGGGCTTGTGACAAGGAATACACATGTAAAATATGAAAACCATAGCTCCTCTAAATCAAAATCCTTAAAAGTCTTCTTCTCAAGAACCAGAGGGCCAGTAGAACATGCTCAGGTAGTAAAGATTCAAGTTTGTTCAAACCGTGACCCCTGGGGCAAGGATGGGGCCAGTATGGGTGATCAAAGTAGGATTACATAGAAATAATCTTTAAAAATATTCTTCTCGGGTACAGCAAAGTTGTGACTGGTCATTGTTATATGGATGCATCCTCGGATAGTCTAGATTCAAGATAATGTTCAAATCATGACCCCCGGGTGAAGAGTGGGGCCAAAATGGGTTATCAGCGTTTTTACATTGAAATACATGGGGAAAATTGTTGAAATTCTTCACATAGCCATGATTGATCATCAATTTAAAAACATCATTAAAGTTGATCATAACAATAATCAACAAAGGCATATATCAATTCAAACGCATTCTTAGGAAGTTTAGATTTAAGTTTGTTCATATCCCCCCTCCTCCCTCAAACCCATTTTATAATATATTTAAACTTTTCAATACTGAACTGATTTTTGCTTTTACCTAGCTATTTGCTCAGGTGAGCGATGTGGCCCCTGGGCCCCTGGGCCTCTTGTTTTAGAAACCAACAACATTGACCTTTTGACCTTGACTCCGGAGTTAGTCCTACCTTTGAAAACGTTAATCTTGATAATAACCTTTGAACATGTAGTGCTAGGGTTTTATATTTCACATTTGTATTTCTTGTGAAAAAGCCTTACTTTAGGTAACAACATATTTGATCTACATTTGAGAAAACTTAACCTTCGCTATGTTCCGATACAGGGGCATCTATGTTTCACAAACACATCTTGTTTTGTTGTTTTAAACTAAATACCTTATGGTAAAATAACATTTTTCGCATTATCTTTTAAATATTAATTGTATGTAACATTTCTCATTATCAGAGTTTGCTAATCATCCACAGGAAGATGAGAACATCGCTGTTATTGTTTGTGGAAAAATCACGAGATTTCAACATTATTATTCAAATCGTTACTCTGAAATCAAAAGTTGTCTAGGTAATTGTATTGCAAATAACTTCTTATATATTTAAGAAAATTTGTTGCAACATTTATGTTGAAATATAATTTGAAAATTAAAGGCATGTTTTTTTTATGTTTGTATTTTTTGAAGACGCTTTAGAATATGGAGGACTTTCTCCTCTGACAGGGGCGTTTTTATTGAGTATGGGAGCCATTGAAGCTGGTACAGGTAAGACCATTCACATTACTGGTATGTATCCATTTTTAATTAAAAAGAATTCATCCATTTTGCATCTCTCCTGTTTTGGATGATATGATACTTTTACTTGCAAAGGCTATTCAAACGGGATATGTGATATCAAAATTCGAACACGAATAATTCTGATATCTGATGGGAGACCAACAGACTTCCATATATTTTCTGATGAGGAGGATTCGCCTTTGAATGAAACATTACAGGTAGGAGGTAATAATTAAAATTTGTAATTAAAATTTCAATTTTGAACAAAAATTACTCAAAATATCGACATCTCTGACTCGAAAGACCCTCTTGCCATGGGCTTGGTTTACTAAATATGGATAAATAAGATTATAATTGGAAACAAGTAAAGAAGCAATACAAAGAGACAAACCAAAAGAATACCGCCTATTTTCAATCTTGATGGCTTTGAGGTTTAAAGGTGTGTCTACATCCTAGGCAAAGGACCATCTCCAGCATGTGGTGAAACATCTAGGGAGGCAACATCCAATCTTCTGCATGCCTGTAGGACAAAATCCAGATGTGGTAATTTAACATTAATTATTACATTGACTAAATGTTATCTTAAAACAATTTTTAGAATTAATAGTTGTTTGTATCATACTTACAGGCATATTTGAAATATTTATGTTCAAAAGGAGGAAGGATCATTCATCCACATGGAGTTAAACAGATTGCACGATTCACTCAAATCTGGTATGTATATTTTTCAAATTAAAAAAAATTAAAGACGGTGTTTGACCAATATAGGTCTTCAGTGATAATAATGTTTCGAATTGATCAAAATTCATATTATTGCCAGCATTTTATTAATAAAAAAACTGAAAATTAAAAACATAAAAGGACTAAACTGAAACAATATGCTGATTTAATTTTCACAGAAATCATCAGCAATGTTATCGGCAACACAACACGAAGACGGAATCAATAGACAAACCCTCGACTCGTTTTTATAATCTAGCTTTCCCAGGACGATATTTTCGAATGAGGACAAGGTATTTTGTATTTTTATTTATATATATTGTATATTATTTGATTCATTTACACAATTTTCTGTATTTTGTATGAATAAATCATATTTCTATCTGGAAAGGTATTTGTGACTCTAAACACTTAAATGTTTTTTGATTATATATATAATATTACACGTACAAGGACGATATAATGGATATCTATACCAAAAGATCTTTTTATTCCGTGGATCCTTCTGAGTCAAACGACGAGGATGAGGCTGATATAGAATTTGTTGAGAGAGACTCTTGCCTTCCAAACATAGGGACAAGAGTTAAACGGGGACCGTACTGGCATGGGTCAGATCAGGACAATCATGGTCCTGGTACAGTCATTGGACATTCAAAAAATGGTATGTATTGATTAGGGAATAGTTTGATGGTTATGCTTACATTTCTATGTAAAAAAAATATAAATATAAAGTTTTAAAATGCTCCATATATGTAGAATTTCTAAAAGGAGGTTAATTGTTGCCAAACAATAATGACAGCAGTCTCGTTTAAAGTCATCATTTCGTAAGTTCTATGGTCGATATAATGACCTTGTCAGCAAATACAATGTTCACTGAAGATTTCCATACTAATTGTTAGTCCATTATTGATAGACTAACAATGGGGATGTTCACTTCTCCGTGACACCTGATCTAC